TTGGAGTCCTGGTGTGGTGCTGTAGGATAAGCACTGGACCACAAGTAGGTTTTAACTGCAAGATCAGTGTTTCAGATATACTAGACGCTCCTCGGAAACCCTATCCAGGGGTGTTATGAGTCAAAACCAACTCAACAAATGCTAAAATACTAAACAACAACAACAAATAAAAACTTAATCACCATCTTTATATAAATTTTTGTATCATTACATTTGAAGACATGCAAGTAATGGATACAGCAAAAACATTATTAAAGTTCTTAAGACACATGGCCAAATGTCCCCACACATCTGTCCCACCACAGTGGTACATGATGGAATTGTTCTGGGGATCTTTTAGTCTAATTCCTGGGTCCTCACTCTTCCAAGTAATGAGTTCAGGCCTCCTGCCCTTTGCCCAAATGCTGTAATCGTTCCTGTTCCTTTTTGAAGAGTGAGATGCCCTGTAAATCTACCCAGTCTGAATTCTCTCAGGAGATGAGAGAGAAGCTCTACATTCCCATGTGAAATCCCCACTCTATTTACTAACTGTGCGTAGGTTGTCCATGAAATTCCTATGGGCAGTCATTCCACATCTGTTAACTTTCAAACTGCCCCATTTTTGAATCATTGATTGTAATTTTAAAGTCAGAAACTGTGTTTGATGATATCTCACAATCTTAGTTCTGATCTTTTTGGAAGTCTCGGGTCATATTACTGAATCAATAAACATATGGCTCATTTTAGTGTAAGCTAATGATTCTCAGAGATCAAATGTAATAGCATTAAGAGGCATTAAGAGGCATGAAGCAGTAATACCTGGGATCTCCACTGGGATCACCGATGGGCCCTTCATGAGGGTTCCAAATACTGAACACAATTCTCTGCATTCACTTGTCAATCATAAGACATCTGAATAGGCTTCAGTGCGCATGATTCTGACCTGAAAGAGCAGAAGAGAAACAAACTTCCTTAAATTTCTGCATCGAACACACATACATACACAGACTCCACCTTTTGAATACAGATAATTTTCTTGTATAAAAACTGTTAAATGGGAGCCTAAATCATATTTAAACCTTTACCTTAAAAATACATAAATAAACAAAATTTTTAAAAGCTTTTATTGTGAA